TTATTATTATTATTATTATTTTTTTTTCGTTTTCTTCTTCTCGTTTACTGTCAATTACTTTCTTCACTATAAATATATATATAATTTTCCCAAACATAACTTCTCTCCTATAATTGTCCCTCTTACGCCTTTACAAGTGGAACATCTTTCTCATCATTGTCACTCTCCGTTTGTGTAGATCTACTTTAAAGAAGTGGTTTTTGTCCTTCTTTTAATCCCATAAAAACTTCATTTACAGCACCGTGATTCCCTGCTTCCACCGGTGTTCTGCTCTGACTGTTTGCATCAGCATCTGAAAGCTCGGTGGTTTCTACTGTGGATGCGAAACACGTCCCATGTGTTGCCACCATTTTCCCAAATGTACTGGTGGAAAAAACATTTTCCGCTGGTGGTTTCTCTTGTCTCGCCTCATCAATAGTTCCAGTCATAGTATACTGCGTTTCCACAGCACGACCAAATGTATCCTCTGCATTTTGTACAATATTTCTTCCATTCTCTTGGTTATTTTCATTAATTCCATCAGAATTTGTATGGCCTATTCCCAAGTAAGTTTCACAGCGGTCTGTGAGTTGGTTTAACCGTGATGAAAGCTCCTCAGCGATTTGAACTAATGGACGTTTACTTAATTTAAACGGATTCACTCCCGTACGTCCCACCAGAACTTTACCACCTTTTGCTTGTTTTTCACCATTAACATTTGGAGTAATAAGAGATGAAACAATGCCTTGCAGGTTTTCCAAACAAACAATACAATCTTCTAGGGCCAATCGCGTTAAAAAGTCTGAAGTCTCCACTAAATCCACTGAACTCTCAGATCCAAGTGTTTGATTCTCTGGGACACTTTGATTAACAAACATTGGTACTTCTTGTACTTTTTTGTCTGGAGATTGTTGTTGTTTTTGTTGTTTTTGTTGATGTTTTACTTTTTCCTTTGGTTGTAGATGTTGTTTTGAATGAGGGTCTCGATGTATAGAAATGCCTGAAGGCCGCGCCGCGGCTTCGCTCTGCAGACTACCCCTCGCCGCACTGCGGCCTGCACGCCGGATGGAAACAGAACTGCGCCGTGGCTCACTGCGGGCCGCCTTTCCCATTCCACCACAACTATTCCCAGTCGTGTGCACAACATTAGTAGAAGTATTGGTAGTGGTATTCGTATTAGTATTGGTAGGAGTATTAGTTGTGATGGGAGTTATGGGCGTTGTGGGAGTACTAGTAGCGGGATTACTAATAAAGGTTTTGGTCGCAATCTTGCCGGGCTGTTCTTTGAGAACCACACAGCGTGATTTACGACCCACAGAAAGAGAACTCATTACAACCGAAGGATTCGGTGGTTTCTCTTCTTTTTTTTTTTTCTTTTTTTGTTTCTTGTTGTTGTTGTTGTTGTTGTTGTTGTTATTGTTTATTTAGGCTATTCTTTCTTTTTTTGTTTTGTTTGTTCACTTTCTTACTGGCTACAGCCAGTTTTCCCCACCACCACCACCCAGAAAAAGAAAAACACACAAAAAGATATCTACAGAAAACCAATGAAGAAAAGAAGAGAAACAAATATATAAATACACACAGATGATATAAACATCAATACAGCAGCAAAAAAGGAAACATTTTAATTAAAAAAAAAGAAAAAAGAGAAAAAAAAAAATATTGTGTACAATGCCGAATTATCACTAACATCATCGTTCGACAGAAAAAAAAAAGACGAAGTTTTCGTCCAACTTCCCCTTTTTGATATTAACAAATCACAAGTTACTGAAATCGCACATGTGTGAGTTTTGCTAATGTCAAACGTTTTGAAGGGGGCGCACAAACGTTTAGTGGAAAGACAAGTAAAAAAGAGTAAACACCAAAATGATACCCGGCAATTACAGGAAAAAAAAAATAAATAAATAGAAGAATCATAGTAAAAGAGAAATATACGGAGAGAGAAAGAAAGAAAGATGGAGGAAGAAGTAAGAGTGAGAGTTACACAACGAGTATTCCAAAATCCGCCCTTTTCCCCCTCTTTCTCTCTTTCTTTTTTTTTTTTTTTCTTCTTCTTCTTCTTTTGTTCTCCTCCTCTTCATTCCTTTACATTGTGTTGTCACAAACTTCATAAAGGCAGGATATGACGACAACAAACAAAAGAAGAAGAAAAAAACAAAAATAAAAATAATCCCTTTCTACTAGCTGACACTACCATCAATTCTTCTCTCATTCCATAACATTTTACAGGACTACATTTTATGATACCGTCTTTTTCTCTAATTGCAATTCACCCGACATGGCCTTTTGTAAAAAGGTGTTCAGATCATCAGAGGACTTCACATCCTCAAGTACTTTATATCGAATCGTATCTCGCTTTGGTGCTCGTAAGAGAAGTACATTATGAGTATTTTCACTCTTTAGTTTATCCACCACATCCGAAAGTTCAAAAGATTCACGAAGGGCCGTCAAAAGTACATCACGGTCCTCGTGAGCCTCAAAGAAGAGGAGTGGCTCATTGCGGAAGAGTTCATGTACACTGTCTAACTTAAACGCATTGGTGAGTGAGACCACACATAATGGAGCCTTTTCACCATTTCTATGCATTTTAGGTGAACAAAAGTTCTCCAACAACTGTGTGGTTAAACGAACAGGTCGAACCGGCATCGCCAACCTACTGTTAGTATCACCATTGTTATTGTTGTTATTGTTTCCATTATCATTCACATTTGATGTCTTTTCATTGTTTTTTCCTTCATTATCCTCTCCTCCACTTGCTGTTCCCTCTGTTTCCAATTCATCCAATGTATTTGTTGCACAAGCAAGTAAAAATTTAGCGATGGGTTCATATGCAATTTGTTTTCCCTTGTACACTACCGTGTTGATATTCTCTTCTGTGGCATTGAGTACTGCAATCGTTGGAAGCTGATGAACTCCAAACTCTGCTGCCAATGTTGATTTGGCTTGACCACCAACAAAATAAAACGGCATAGACTTCAATCGCGGAGAGTGCGAGAGAACAGAAAAGATGGGAGGAATGCGCGTCTTGGAGGAGAAGAGCACCACCACCTTCTTTTCAGGTGCAGCACGAACAGCCTCCCGCAGGGCATCACTATTCAATATTGTTTTTATCCCAGCAGAGGTAATAAGACTCATAGCTCGGTTTTGAATAGCAGAGGCCTGTCGTGGTCCATCATACTCACTGGCTTTGTAAATTTTCTTTTCACCAACATTCCAATACTTAATCGTGGGGAATCCACGAATACCGAATTGTTGTCCCAATTGTGAGTGTTCATCAGCGTTAAGGGCCCCAACGCGAATTGTTCCTTGTGTGGCTTGTGCAAACTTCTCCCACTCTGGATGAATTTTCCGGCAGTGTCCACACCACGGGGCGTAGAAGAGAATATACACCGGTTTATGAGTACTGACAAATTGATTAAATGTGGCTGGCGTCAATTCCGTCACACCAGAGGATTTACTAAACGGAAAGGCATTTGTTGTCCCGCTTGATGTAAAGAGCAGAAGAAGAAAGATGGAAAGTAACATCATCCATCTTGAAGGAGATAAAGAGATGATCATCCGTCTATCTTTCCACTCTCTCTTAATATATAATATAGCTATATATATATATTTGTGGAAGTGTTACCTTCTTTTGAGTCTGCCTTTTTTTTTTCTTTTGTTTTCTTTCCCGTTTTCCTTTTTTTATCCAGATAGCACTTTATCAATATGGAAACATCAGAATGTTCAGTAAAAATAATAATAATAAGAATCGAAAAGAAAAAAAAAAAGAATATTAGAGATTTCTCAAGTCATAGAGGTACACTATATACAAGGGTATTACAACATAGAAAACAAAATAACCAACTAGTAACTCTTCCATCACAACAGAAGTATATCTCTATACATAGACTTTTCTGTCAAGTCGAGATAACTATACAGAGGTATCATTTAATGATGATACACAAACGCAATGCCCTAGGGCTAATAAGAAATAGCAAAACAACAGTAATTAAATGAGACACAAGAATAGGAAAAAAGAGAAAACAAAAAACAAAAAACAAAAAAAAGAAAAAAAGAAAAGAGAAAAAAAAAACTAAATAAACTAAGACAATACGATCTTTTTTCCTCACATACACCGGTTAACAAAACTACATTAAGAAAGCAAAGCATTTTTTTCTCTCTCATACACTATTTTCCCTTAAATTAAATACACTCCATGGTTGTTGTTTTTTTCCTCTTTCTTTATGTGTGTATGTTTTCTTCAGGTAAATAAGGTAGAATAAAGGGAAATTTGAAGATATGAAAAGAGTTAATGTGATGCTATCACAGTTCGGCGCATCCAGATATTCGTTGCAGCCCCAGTTACTACCAACAATACCACAGCAAAGTACATACCCCAAATATCCTCCATAAATGGTTTCATTCCAATAAAATTTGTACCAAACCAAGATGTAATTAATTCTAATGGAATAAAAAAAGTTGTAAATATTGTCAATACGCGAAGATGATCTTCTAAAGTATATGCGGCTACAGAAAACTGTAGGGCTAAAAGTGAACGTGACTGATCATGAAGTTCCTCAGCAAGTGATACGGCATTTGTGAGGAAAAGTATTTCCTTTTGCTCTCGAACATTAATTGGTACATTTAAAGATTTAAATAATTTTATATAACATCTCTGGGTTTCACGTAAGAGGTTCGCATAAATATTGGCTCGTCTGTGAATAACATGTACTTGTGTTAATATCTTGGAAAGTTCACTCATTTTTGTAGAGGAATTAAACAAAATAACTTCAAGTTCATCTAATCGTTCAGCATATTTATAATCCATATGTTGAACACTTTTTGTGATCCCGTGAACGAGTTGACGTACAATTCCCACCCAAGTCTCTTCACGTAATAATCGTGTTGTCCACGATTTTAACATGTCTTCAATAAATGGGATTCGATAACGGTGAACAGTCACAACTCGCCAACGTACGGATAACTGATCTTCACTATCTTCTTTATTATTATTATTATTATTATTATTATTATTATTATTATTATTATTATTATTATTAGTCTCTTGTTCGGTATTCACTTTACTACGCCATACATTTGCTTGTGCTTCACTTAATTCATTTCCACTTTCATTAGATGGATGACTTTCTTTAAAGAGAAAGATATGAATGCGATCCGTTAATTCCATCATGGTAGCATGAGCAGAGACAAAATACCCTTTCGTATTCATATGACCATTTCTACTATTTTTACCAAAAAGTGCATTACGGCGTCCATTACGCACACGAGCCTCATCTTTATCATTGAAAAAGATATAACTATCATCGTCATCATAATCACGGATATCATTATTAGTAATATTAGTATTCTTATTCTTATTATTCTTCTTTTTCTTATGAGAACTACCAGAATCAACTTGATCACCGTATTCATCCCATCCCTCATCATCCAGAGCAGGTTTACGATGTTCGCTTGTATGCCCGGACCTGCGAAAGTCTTTTACTTTTTCGTGCAAAATAGAAGAGAGCCAAAAGGGCTTCTGTCGTGCACATCGTAATGTCAGACACGCCCAAGTATCTTCTACACGCACAAACGGCAATGGACGAGTATTATAAGAAACTGTTTTGATCATATCCGGCGGGAGTTTCCAATTGCGTAGAGTCTCGACAGCATAAGCCACAAAGTCACCATCACGATGAAAGGAATCATCCGCCCACGCATGCGTTCGTCCAGCGACATCCAACCAACGTACCCCAGTAGTGGTAGAAACCTCTGTTGTTGTTATTAACTGAACATTACTTTTACTACTCATATGGGTATCTTCACTTATTTTTTGTTTTTTATTTTCACTAGATTTTGTTTCCTGTTCAGAACAGGCATGACTCTCTTTTTTCGGCCCTCGCAAGAAGGTACTTGTGGAGAAAGTAACACTTCTATTATGAGTAGCAGAAAGGAGAAGGTTTCTACGCAAAGATCGTACAGCGGGTCTTTGAAAAGATGATAAAAGTATCAAAGAGACCATACTTTATTATTTTTTTTTTCTTTTTTACTTCTTTACTTCACTCTTTCTTTTCCTCGTTATTCTTCTTCTTCTTTTTGGGTGGCTGCCGGAGTTTTAAAAAAGGTCAAAGTAACTCTTCTCTATTTTGTTTAGATGTGTATATTTCCCGTGGTGGTTGATGGGATAGACTGTCTCTACAGTCGCTGGGGGATTATGTGGGCAGCTGTACTTCTTCACACATTGACACAGAAAGAAAAAAAAAAAAAGAAAGAAAGAAAAAACTAAAAAAAAAAAAGATGACAAACAAGCCCATAATGATGGAAGCCACAAGATGGAAGAGTTAAACAAAAGAAAAAAAAAGAAAGATAATAACGAAAAAAAAAAATTATTCGTATAACAAATAAATAAATAATAATAATAATAATAATAATAATAATAATAATAATAATAATAATACGCCAAACAGATCCACTCCTTTTCTTTTTTTTCTTTTGTAATTACAGTTTCCCCCTCCAACATTACAATTCAAAGGGAAACAAAAAAAAAAAAGAAGGAAAACGAAGAAGGAAAAAATGTAAATAAAAATAAAAAATAAAAAACAATAACATAGAGAAACAAATATATATATATATATATATATATGTAAACGTTAAAAAAGGGGGGAGGGCCAATAAGTTTTTTTTTTTTTTTTTTTGGTTGTTCTTCTAGTTACCGGATGAATTATTCGGCATTCGGCCAGCGCGTGCCTGTTGATAGATCTTCTCAAGTCTCTGAATCTCCTGCCGTTCCTTTGCCCGCTTCATCTGCACTTCTTCCGATTCTCCACGGAACATGTGTTGATTCTTCACAAGATACTCATCAATCGCATCATGCTCTACAATAGAAATAAGATCAAATGGTAAAAATCCATATCGAAAGAGAGCATTTAGTCTATTAATAGCAAAGTTGTAATGACGACAAATCTCCTGTCCTGGATTAATACGTGCGAGTGAATAAATAGTGATAGCCCCTTTTCCATTCGCTGCAGCACTTGGACCAACACGAATACCAGAATTCGGCCGATTGGAGTGATTCACTAAATCCAGCATAGGCACAAGTGATGTTTCTACCGGATCTGATCTTTTCATACAGCGACGCATCAAACGACGGGCTCGACGTAAAAAAATAGATCCATCATAATAATTTATAGGAGGCATGTGCTCTACACGTGCTAACACCAAACGTGTAATGCGTCTAAATGTATCTATAGAAAAAGGTGGAGATGTTTTCTCATGTATGGCTGTAATATTACGATGAAACATGGTAGTCATTTCATCATAACTTTGTCGTTGCCAAGTATCTAAAGCCATTCCATACATACCAAAAATAAATTGTTCATTAAAATCTTCATCATCAATGAGTCTAGCCCATGGCATAGCTCCACCACGTAAAATCTGTGAAATACGCATTACTTCTTCAGCATTTTGAGCATGTGTAATATCAGGTAAACTTGAAATGATGGCACTAAATTGTAAACCAAGATATAATTGTGGGGCCATCATTTTAAATTCTTCATCTCGTATAGCATTACGAACTCCATCAAGTGTTATATACGGAAGTGTATTAGGTTTAGTATGAATATTTGAGGTAGTGTAGATACTGGAGAGTGGAATAGTAATAAGAGGTTGATTCGCTTCTATTGGTTTACTTTTAGTACTTAAAAATAAACCCCGTACTTGTGATGATCGTACACCTATAAAGGTATCTTGATGTAATGTAATATTAAAATGATTACGACAGGCTTCATAAAAATCACGTGGAAGTGTTGATGCGGCACCATATAATTCTTTTCCAATACAAGCCCAACATTTTGTTGGTGATAACATAACTCAACAGAACTAGAAGTAACTGGAGAGAAAGAAAGAAAGAAAAAAAAAAAAATAAGTTACTATTAACTTTTCTCTATTCTCTCCCCACTCACCTTTTTTTTTTATTTTTTATTTACTTATCAATGTATATATTTGTACGATTATGAGTATATATCTCTTATCGTCCACCAACTATCTCTATTTCTTTGTTGTTTTGTTTCTTTTCAATTTCCTTCTATACTTTTCTCGTCCCAACCGCTTTTAATCATATTTAGAAAAAAAGAAAAGAAAAAAAAAATAGAGACTGATTCTAATAAAAGATCCATTCTTTTTCTTCTTTTTTTTCTTTTTGAAGTCAATGCCCCTGTTAGTGGACTCTCACAGAAATATATATTTTCTTTTAAAAATAGTTTTAAAGAAGTAGGAGAACGTAAAAAAGCAAAAATCAAAAAAAAAAAAAAAAGATTTTCAGCCATGTTTTGACGTTTTCTCCGTATTTCCTGATGTCTTTTTCTTTTTTCTTTTCTTTTTAATACAATCACAGTAGAATTTATTATTAATTATTATTATTATTATTATTATTATTATTATTATTATTATTATTATTATGACGATGACTCCTGTGGCTTATACGTCAAATCTGCAATTAAAGCAATGTGATCTGATGGATAAAGTTTATTAGGCAACGCAACATTCTGAGAAAGTTCACTCTCCGCAGGAATAGGAACTGTACGCAGAACAGAGAGTCGTGATGGTGAGAAAAAGATATAATCAATAACTTCACGGAAGGTCATGGTGTAATTTGTCCACGGTAGATTTGGGTCTGTCAAACCATACGCATCTGTCAATTGCAGAGGGGCATCAAGATCCTCACGAAATGCAACAAACGGCGGTTGACGTTCAACTTGCATTTCCTCATCTTTTTCTGTTTTTGTTTCTTTTTCTTTTTCTGTTGTTGTTTTGGTGATTGGTGGGAGTGCGGGATGATTCTCATCACTTGTGGGAATTCCCTCTTCTGCCTCTTCTTCGCTAATCCCCAGCAGTCGATCACATCCCCAGTGGAAGAGTTCACCCTTATCCCATGAGGGATGAGAGGCCTCCGTACGTCCAGCCGTCACCAGTCGATATCCACCGGTAATGTGAGTGAAATTAAAATCTCCACAGAGAACAACAGGAAGTGATTGCAATTCAGAAAGAGATTTTAATTTGTGTAGTAACATATAAATTTGTAAAAGACGAATATGACAGGCATTGGCGTGATAAAAGAGATGTGTATTTCCAACTAAGAGTTTCTCATTCGTATGAAGATCTTTTAATAATAATACAGTACCAATGGAAGTTATATTATCAAGTGCCTCTCGAAATTCGGGAAAAAATATTATTCGTGCAGCTAAATCTGGATGATCTTCTTGTAAAGTAGACCAATTAAGAGGAAATGAATGTTTTTCTACAAGAGAAAAACGACTACGTTTGTAAAAACATGCACAACCCTCACGTATTCCACCATTTTTATTTGTATAATGTCCATCATATCCCTGATGACGTAAAGTACGTTCAAAAAATTGTTGAAATACACTTTTTCCACATTCTTGAAGACAAATAATATCTGCATGGTAAGCAAGAAGTTCTTGTATTATTCGTACCTTTCGATTATCTAAAGATAATATCTCATCTGTTGCAAACGGGTAAATACGTTTCTTTGCACTACCTTTACTACAAAACTCATCGTGAAGGACATTATACGTAACGACTCGAAATGCAGGAGCTTTAACAGGTAGTGAAGTCTGTTTCCAACGTTCAAGATATGGTAATGCGCTACGAACAGGAGGTAAATCAATTTGTGTCCATAAATCTGAATCTCCAGCAGGTGAAACACGCAGTAAAAGTAAATTCCCTATATGTTCTTCCAATGGTGTAAAGACAGCATCTGTAGAAATAACACGCATTGAATCTTTTTCATTTTTACCACAACTACGAATACACCATTCATAACGTACATCTGTTTCTGATGTGAAGAGAGTTGTAATACCGGAACAAACCGCAGGTAAACCAACATAAAGAGCAGAAGGTGGTACAACAGATGTAATCGTAGGAACATTATATTTTACTCTTACAACAATAGTACCAATTAAAATTTCTCTAACATATTTCCAAAAGTCTTTATTCGGTAATGAAGTATCCAATACTTTTAATGAATTTGTATTACTTATTGAATCCTTCTTTTCTAAATCTACATTACTATCAACTCCACGAACTTCTATGGCTTGACAATTTTCAAGTATTTCTTCTCTTGTTGTTCGTTTATTTATTTTTTCTCCTTTTTGTTGTGAAATAAGAATTTGAAGACGAGCAAGTGTTTTACTCGCAATTTCATTTTCATCTCTTGCCATATTCTTCTGCCATAATGTATCTTTAGATGCATCTAATTGAATACAGAGATCTAATGTAATAATAGAACTATTCAGAGGATGAAGTACAACAGCCGTATTAGGTTCACGTGCCATTCGCACAATACTTGATTTCATCTTGGAAGCAGCAGCTGTTGATGATGTGGATGCCGAATTAAAAGAAAAAGAAGAAGCAGCAGCGGTTCGAGATTTAGACATTTGCCTTAAATTTCGTTGAAGCCAAAAACGAGAAACACCAAAAAGGCCTCCTTCAGCCCCGCACAAGTGAAGATTATAACGAAACGTTGTGTATGTATGTATATATATATATTAGAGTGTGATTTTAGTGATCCGCCTTAATGAATAAGAGAGAGAGGGGCAGAATAAAGGTGATATTGCCTGTGGGACTAGACTCTAGATAAGGGATCACCTAGAAAGTTGATGATGCTCACAAACACTCTCTCTCTCTATTGATAATACGATTGCGCTTTTATGTTGAAAAAAAAGGGTAAAAAAAACCCTCTTTTTTTTTTTCTTTTTCTTAAACACACCCTTCATAAGAAAAAAATAATGAAATAGAAGAAAAAAATAAAAAATAAAAGAAAAAAGAAAAACCACAACAATCGTAAAAAAATACAAACTATATAAAAAAAAAGAAAAAGAAAAAAAAAAGAAAAGAAAGGGGAGATTATGTATAACTGCACGACCAGCAGAAACAACTAATCCTCCATACACCCAAAATAAATAAAAGAATGAATGAATGAATGGATAGGGTTTCTCCACTATGTGGGTAAGACACGATTGCTAAGATCCAACGCGGAGTTCCAGCAGGACTTCTCTAATGTATTTAAATCGTCAAACATCGGCAGAATGTACACATGCCATCCTCTATGGCACTCATAACAGAACCAACACAACATCGCCAACACAGCGGCCGCCATGCAAGTTGTCATTGTGGTGTTTAATACTAAAAACATCGACACATCACGTGGAAAGGGCGGCAGTGGTTTAAATGTACCGTTGTATCCAACTGTGTACATCACAGTGGAGTGATCGCCCACTGTCAGGATCACAGCAAACAGCAGCAACAGAGAAGTGAGGCCAAAGAGTATAAAAGCCAGAGGATAGAAAGCAAATCGATGAAAGGTAAGTGGGGCTGCGGCACTAATGGTATTAAAAATAAGTAGAACCGTAAATAACGGCTCAAATGTATCTACAACCCCCATAATTTCAACTAGACTATTGAATACACATTATTCAAATGGAAAATCAAAAAAGAAAAAAAATGGAGAAAAGAGAGTTTATAAAGAATATGTAAAAAAGCAAAAAAAGGAAAAAAAATTAATAGTAAATACTACATATACAAGCCATTAAACTACTCTCTTTTTTCTTTTTTTTTTTTTGTTGTTGTTTTTACTCTTCAACTTATTTCCTTTTCTTCTCTCTCGATCTCTTCCTCATTCAGGTATGTTCTTCTACGTTTTCTGACACATGACCGTCCTTTTTTTTTTTTGTTGTTGTTAACACCCATCCGTTTAAAAAAAAAAAAAAATATGCACATACAAAGGCATTTCATTAGAAACATCCAGGGGGAAAAAAAAATTTAGCTTCAAAGACAAATAAAGCATCTCTCTACCTCTTTCTCTCTCTCTCTCTCACACACACACTCTTTCTCTCTTCCCTATCCCATAAAAGAAGTAAAAAAAAAAAAAGCATGTAAATATTGTTGAGGGCAACTAAAGAAATTTTATTACAACAAATACAATGAGCAAAACATTTGATATCTCTTTTTTTTTTCTTTTTGATACTTTTGGGAAGTTGGAAGCTGCACATAAATGTTTCTGTATGTGCTTTATTAGGGCTATTTTCTGGTGGTAGAGATAGACAACCCACCATTGTTGTTTCCTGCCTTGTACGATATGTATTGATGATATATATGTATACGCAGAGACACATACATACATACAAAATCAGAGGGAAAGAAATATAACATGTTTCTGAATATTTCCCCTTGATTCACCAAATATTGCAATATTGATGATAAAACCTAACATCTGTTTTTTTTTTTCGTTTTTCTATTTGGATTCTTTATCTGATTTTTTTTTTCTTCTTTTCATTTTCTTTTCTTTTCGTTTTTCTTTTTTCTTCTTTTTTTTTTTTCATGTGTTGATAGTAGCCATGACTATGAATAAAAATAATTCCCCTTCTAATATCATACAGACAGTGGACTATTATCAGCAGTACCCCGTTCATACAATATATCCTCTAACGCATCAATCGTGGTTGGTATATTCACCCGCGGCATTCGCAAAATAAGTGGACCTATCGGCTTTCCCGCGGTCTTCGCCTCCTGCGGTGTGAGTGTTGGATACGACTGCGGCTGCTGCGGCATGTGGGCCGCCACGAATCGCTCCTCAACGTCGAAGAACATGCGGAACTTGGCGAGGGCCGTCGCCTGATACCCGCGGTCCATGTGTGTGGAGAAGACCACACAGCGGGCGGGGTCGACGTGGATTTTCTCCGCGGCGCGCAGGAAGATATCCACATGCGGCCGACTCTTAATCCGCCGATCATACGCCTCCTCTCCGTCAATGTAGGCGAGGATGAGAGACAACACATCGGGATTATATTGCATGAGGGCCTTCAAACTGCGAGTGTACGTTACAACGGCGAGGGCAATGCCACTCTCGGCGAGATCACTTAATAACGCCCGCATGCTACTATTCACTTGAGGCATTTCCCGAGAGACAATCTCCGCCATTTCTGCCACTTTGGCATTAGCAAGACCATAACGAGTTTCCACAATCTCCGCATCATCCGGGGAACCGAGTTCAAGATCAATACCGCGTTCTAAGAGAACATTATGAATTCCACTAAACGCAATTTCTCGTTGTTCTGCTTGATAAATAACTTTCGTTACATATTCTGTTTCTGTCATGGGTGGAATTTCGCGTAGATGAAGGACACGATGGTTTTCAAATAAAGATTCAAGTGTTTTATACCATGCCATAAAGTTAATATCCATAATATCATCAAATAAAGATTCACAAAGAAATATAGCACCTTCAAATTCTCCTTGTTTACTACTCATTAATCGTGGAACAGATACTTGAGTTTTAGCAGAACAACGTCTATAACCTGAATGAAGATGAATACGATGACCACTACCATGAACAAACCGAATACTATCCCCACTAATAAGATCATATGTGATATTATTTGCATCAATAGTTGTTCGTAAAATAGAACCTCGCCAACAAAGTGTAAAACTTACTACATTTAAACCTGCAGGAAAACATGGATCCAAGTGAAGATTATGACGAACTAAATTAAGACCTCCTATTCCACAAACAATAGCAATCCAAGAAGCTGACATGGCAGCAAAATTAAGTCCTTCATCTGCAGTATAAATAATATTATCCAAATCAAGACTCATTAATGAACGTAAAAATGGTATACCCTGAGCAAAAGATTTTTTAGCATGAAGTTCCATAAGTGCTACAAGAGCAAGAGATTCTGGAGAATCATATGTACAAAGAGGTTTATAATAAGCTAAATTTCGTACAAAATCTTTATTTTCAAATTCATTTTGATACAAAAGCATTCCTAATAATACCTCTGGAATATCAACAAGTTTATGACGAAATATTGCTAAAGGATGATAATTCATAGATAATGGATGTTTCGCACGTTCACCTTTCCATTCTGCTAAAGTATGAAAATGATCATGAACCATATAAACTCCAAGATGATCATTACGACGAATAACAATTCCATCAGAAACTTTTTGAAAATTTTCAAGTTCAGAAATATCGATATCAATTTCTTTTAATAAACGAGTCATAACTTCTTCTCCAAGAATTTCTAATTGTTGTTTATAAAGTTTTAAAGCATGACGTAAATGCATTTTAGCAGATAAATGAATATAAAAATTACCTGAAGCACTACCATTGTATTCATCAGGACCTGCAATATTATCTAAACGAAAAACTCCTTCATTTTCTACCCATTCACCTAATTGTGGCCATACTCTTGCAGTTTCTAACATTAATTCAAGAAGCCATAAACGATCATTATCATCTATATCTTCAACTGCCATAAAATATATATTAATAATATATCCTATTTCTGCATTTACATGTAAACGTGCATGATTTATAGTACTATAATAATGACATTCCGTACCTTTTATAGTACTACGAGGAAATATAGCACCATGACTAAGAGAAATTCGATGTGCATTTATTCGTGCTTGTGGAAGTAAAGAATAAAGACTTCGAATAAGTTCTAAAGCACGTGAAGGAAATGTATATGTATAGAAAATACCATGATATAAATATTGTTGAAGATCATATTGTAAATTTTTTTTAGTTGCAGAACATCCACTACGAGGTAATCCATTCGGTAAATTATATGAAACGCAAAAAAGTCTAAATGCATTATATAATAATGCTAAACGCATACGATTTGGTGTTAATTCTCCTTGTTGTTGTAAATCGATATAAAAATTATTCCATAATTCATCAAATATCACTCGTTGTTCTGCTATAATATCAGAAATACTTGGAAATGTACGTAAAGGTGATATATTTCTACCATTATAGTGTCTAGCCAAAAAAGTTAACGTTATTTTTTCTGGTACATTTTCTGTAGTAAGTACTAAAGAAAAACGCCTTTTAAAGGCTATACGTTTACCATTACGATTACATTTATGAGGTGAAGCTCGATTGGCAAGACTATGATCACTTTCACTATCGCTAAAGAATGGAACGCTTGAAAAAGGTCGATCGTAAGGAGAAATCATATTTTCATCTGGATCTGATAAAACTTCTTGATCTGGTAAAATTTTACAAGAACTATTAGAATACTCCACAAGACAAGAAGATTGTGTGACAGTATTTACTATTAAACCAGATGTAAGTGATTGTAATAAAAATTCATCTGTAGAGTCTCCACGTAAAATAACCCAATTACATAAATCTATGGTAATAGTTGCAACAAAATCAAGAGTGTAAGAAGTTGAAAATTCTCCATTTTGGCTAGAAGCAATTTGTCCCATGGAACGAGAAAGAGTAGTAGACTCATTTAAATGCATTTCACTTGGTGAATTATTAAAAGAGAAACCACTATAAACCACATCTGCTCCCCATAGATCTAATTCTTTCACAGAAACCACTCGACGATATTCTCCATCAAACATTAGACCACCATCTCCACTCATTACATCATTACAATAACTATGATAGGTAGCATCACGCAAACTGAGTCGTCGTAATGGCATAGCCCGAAGTGTACCAGAATCTCCATCTATCAGGCAATCAAGATTCACATCACATATAGTTGCCCCAACCTGCATCTCTTCTGGTAAAGCTTTACTATCAATACAAGTATCCAGTGGAAGACTATGATAGACACCATTCATAAACACACTTGTTTGAAAACCAATAGTTTCACATTCGCTGCGGTGTCGAACCCCCACGCAGCCGTTCGTGCCGTACATCACACCATCTGTCACTCCACTAGAGACATACGCTGCAGCATCAGTTCCCTGCACAATATCCCAATCATCTAGAATGAAAATAGGCCGTTTAGGGACCTCGTAATCACGAGCTAAGAAAGTTCGGTTACCAGGAACCATATTCTACTTTCCTTATTAGTATGTGTCTTTGAATTTTATTTTTTTGTTGTCTTTAGGCAGAGTTTCTTTTTTTTTTTTTTTTGCTTGTTTGCTTTGCTTCTTTATTTCTCTCCGTTTTTTTCTACTTTAATCCCTTTTTTTTTTGTCTTATTTCTCCTGTGTCTGGTCAATAAAAGAACCAGACCACTTCTGGAGTGACCCTGTTTCTTTTTTTTTTCTTTTTTTTTTGTTGTTTTAAGAGAACATTGACCAGAAGAAGTGTATTAAAAAAAAAAGAAAAAAAGGATACAAAGACACATATATAGACAGAGAGATAGAGAGAGAGAGAGAGAGATAAACACGAAAAAAGAAATAGTAAAAAAAAAAAGGAAAACATTTTCGTGGGGAAAATAAAAGTACGTCTCACAATGCAGCTCCCTCCTTTTTCTATGGAAGAAATATATAGATATATATGGATAGAGATATCTACCGCCTATCCCCCAATATAAAATAATAAAAAAAAAAAGCAATTAGTTTCTCTTTCGAGACTAACCCCTATCCCAGTAAATAGCAAAAAGAAAAAAAAAAAAACCTCTATTCAGTACTTTTTACTTAGTTCTATATATAGTGTATGCGCATAAAAACATAGACTATTATATATGTATGATATTTTTCTTTTTTTTTTTTTTTCATTAAATAATATAAGAAAAAAAAAAATCATTTCTATAGTGTTTGTGTATGTGTGCTCTATGGAGAAAGCAGATCTTTTTTTTTTTTTGTCTTTGTTTTTTTTATTTGTTTTTAATCAACGTGATGACCCTGTACGGAGTCGTTCCCTTGCCTGTAATATTTGCGCCTCACCCGGTGTTAATTTCCCACGAAACATTCGACCAGCCATTGGCTTTGTATCCACTTCCACTGCAGCACCACGTACACTACGAGAACGACGAGTTGATGGTAAACTGGCAGCCACACGGCGAGTAACAACTTCTGCTTGTGCGGCTGTTGTTGTCGCTGCGGCTGCGGGAGTCCCAACAGGCGGTGATATCTTCACATTATTTACATTACTTATTGGAAAAGATTCCACGCCTACAACTTGCCGTTTGGGGATATCCCTGGTTGGGGAAGGTGCAGCAGCTTCCTTCACTGCAAGACCACGACGACCAAAGAAAAAGTAATCATCCTCAAGATCGGCTGCATGATGAAATGTGGCGGCATTATCATTTTCTGGATGAGCCGCTTCGCAGGGTTCAGCACCCATGTGGAAAAATCCTGGATTCACACTTACCATTCCTGGGGCAGTAGTTTTTTCCATCTCCGAGTTCCCACGTACTTGCGATAAACTGAAAAAATCCTGAAATGGTGGTACTTCACTTCCCAAAGCTGTTGAAATAATGTTAGGACCCTGAGAAACAGTAATACGTGCGGTTTGAATAGGTGCTGAAGTAGCTGTAATACCAACATTTGGATAACTTAGATTCTGTATATCTGAAGCAAAAGGCAGTGGTTTATTTGGAATGACTTTGATCTCACTTGAAGAAGGAACAATTACACCTTCTTTATTAATAGGTGTAGTGTTAGGAAATGAAGGCGCTAATGCCTTTGCCTCACTTGAAGTTAAAGAAATAGGCTTAGGTATATCTCGTTTTACATCTTTTACTGGAAGCACAGATGTATCAGAAGGATAAACTGGAAGAGAAAGAGGTTCAAACATAACAGATGGATATTGTTGCTGTTGTTGTTCTTGTGTTGATGATGGGGTTAGTGCCGCAGTAGTAGTTGTAGTTTCACTAGATTCATCCAGTGGGGAGTAACCATCAGAATGTGTTAAATGAATCATTCTTACCCCTCTTCGTTCCTTAAACGATGAAGAAGGTGAGACCCCGTCTGATACTGTTAAAGGAGTCACAGCAAATGAAGGAGAGGCTGCCCTAGTAGTAGTAGTAGTAGTAGTAGTAGTAGTAGTAGTAGTAGTAGTAGTAACAGACTTTGGTACATGTGTATGTACAGCTGCTTGAGATACTCTCGATCCTGCTTTAGTTAAAAAACTCATTGTAACACGTTGAACAAGTGCAGATAAGGATTTCATAAGTAATAAGAAACGTTTTTCTGCCTCTTCATCTTGTGGAGCTCCTGCAAGATTATCTTTAGCCCAATCATTTACCCGAATACCAGGTATCTTTTCTTTAAGTTGTACCAATTTTTCTTTACAAGTTATAAGAGGACGAAGGAAAGAAAGACGTAATATTATCTCTCCTTTTCCATCTTTACCAATAACATTTCTGTTGGAATTTGCATTTCCCATTTCCCCTGAGGGAGTTTCCATATTCTTTACGAATTCCGTTATGCAATTACGTATATGATCAGCAAGATCAGCTCCCTTCTGTCGAATATTATCTGAGTTACGAATGACAAGTGAACTTTGTGAAGCTCCACCCAATTGTGTCTCTGTACCACCTGTTGCTCCATCCACAATCATAGGAGTCGTCGTAGAGGGAGAAGGTAGTGTGGGAACAATAAGAGGAATAGGAGGAGGAGAAGAAGAAGAATAAGTAATAGCAACAGTTAATCCTCCATTATTATCATTAGTAGGTTGAGATTGTTGTTGTTGTTGTTGTTGTTGTGAATTCTCCTGTCCATGTAGAGATGATATTTTAGATCGACAATAATTACCAAATGAGGTAGCACATTTTTGTACTAAACAAGCTTTTTTTAGTAATTGTTCCTGTTCCTTTGGAAATAACGAAATTAAAGCTTGATCTTCATCTTTATAATATCCAGCTCCAGTAGATCGAGAGCGATGATGACTAGAATGATGAGAACTACGTGATCTAGATGAATAAGAAGATTCATTTTTAACTTTTTGTGTTTCTCCCTTTTGCCACATTTGTTTAACGCGTTCACGTTGAGGATCAGGTGTATTACTTTGAAAAATAGCGTCATGTCTGTTCTTTTCAACAATTTCTTTTAAACGCCGTATATTATCTTTACGTTTTTCTGCAGATGTCATGAGAGTCTCTATACGATGTTCAATATATTTTTCCATTACATCCTTTACACCTTGAGTAAAATCATCCACTTTCCTTTGCATTTCATGAACAACTTCAATATATTCTCCTTTTTCTGCCCATTCAATAGTTTTTAAAGCTTTATTCATAACACGTATGTGTTTAAGTTGTCTTTTTACCTCCTTTACGAGATTTAAAACCACCACTCGACGGAAGGGTTTAGCAGCAGAATGATCTTCAAACTTTTCTCCTGTTCTTTTTCGATGTGTTTTTGATTTTACTGCCGTCACGTTAACTTCATGTCCTTTCATAGACTTGAGAATATCTCGTACTTGACGACTGAGCGAAATACATTCCTCATTAATCTTTATACGAGTTTCTCGATCAGGGGTGTTTTGTGGTAACATTTCCATTTTGTAAACTGTAAAACTCTCACACATGTCATCACTTTTCTTTAATAACAATTCAATCTCTTCTGGTGTTAAATAAAAATGAGGTTCCATATTCTCTAATTCGTTAAGAGTTGTTTTCTTCATTGTTTCCGCACGATTTGCATCTCTTTTAAGAATAAAATCCTGTTGTCGACGTACAAATGCTTTAAACCCTGGTGGCATTTCTTCTGGATCTATTGCAACTCCCAACGCATTCACATGCGTTACACCATCATCATAAGAAGAAAGAGTTGGTTTCTTCTTCATTGGAAATGTAAATGCAAATCCATCACCAAAAGGAACCAATCGTTTCCATAAACTTTTAACACCATCATGATTATCATCATTATTATTATTCATATCATCATCATCATCATCAGTTTCTTCTTCTTCTTTTTCTTGTTTCTCATGAACACCGGTAATTCGTTTACGCGAAACTGTTCCCTTTATTCTTTGAAGATCTTCTTCATGTTGTTGTTTCTTTGTATATTTTGAAATTATCGTACACCCACCGTATAATATGAAAGAATCCCCATCTGCACAAGAACAGGCAGTTGCAAATGCTAATGGTGGTATCATAGGTTTTACATGCAGTTTTTTCCATAAATATTGATTGGAATGTGTTGGAACTAATTGAAGTTCAAAAATAGTATTCGTAGGTTCTAATTGTTCATCACTAATAGAAGTATCAAAACCTCCTATAATGATTAAACGTGAACCTACAATACATGCCGCATGTGCACCTCGTGTTGGGGCATCATGACATTTTAATTCTTCCCAACGTTCATTTAATATATCAAATGCCCAAACATCATTTAATGGTTCATTTTGTACATTAAATCCTCCGTAAATAATAATCCAATGACCATAAACCACAGCACTATGTAAATATCGTGCTTGAGGTGAAGGTCCAGTAGGACGAATTAAAGAAATACTGTACGTTTCCGCATGAATACCAATGAGTTGTGCTGAAACCAATAATCGATTGGTAATACCTCCAAAAACATAAACATTACAATCTCTTACAACAGCTGTATGAAAAGCAACGGGAAGTTCAGGTACTGTTTGTATTGCACGCCATCGATTAGTTTTTAAATCCATATCAAATAACATGGACATAAATCCAATCGGCATTCCTTCTTCATATCTATGAGCTAAAGACCAAAGTGTTGGTTTTTCTTTTTCCATATCATCCTTCTGCATGGAAGTCAATCGTTTTACTTTTACATTTCCTTTATAAGGAAAAAGAATATTTGATCGTATTCTACAATTTTCATCATCATTAAGAAATTCTTTTGGAATAGATTGACCAGTTGGACCAACTCCACCTATTATCATGAGACGATGATAACTATCTACCACCACTGCGGTATGACCATAATTACCTGGAGAAATAAATTGTTTACCTTCTATACGTCTCCAATGACCTGTAAGTAATGAAAATTCATACAATTCATTCTCAACACATTTCCCTAGATTTGTAGTTCCACCATATACTAAAATACGTTGACCTTGATCTACTGGATGAATAAAGGATGTAGTAGCATGATACATAAGAGGTGGAAGACGAAATCGTCTAGATGTTGGATTTGGCATAACTCTTACAGAATGCAATATAGAGTAGTTTCTTCCTTTATCTGCAGGAGGTGCAAAAGAAGCCCATAAATCACGACGGGAAATAGACTTTCGAACTTGTCTCTGTTGTGATAACTTTTCTTCTTCACGTGTTGGACTCACTGTAGGGGCTGATCTTCTTCTTTGTAGTCCTAACGGTGATGATGATGAACTTCCACTTCGACTTTGACTTTGTGCAGCCGCCACTACATCATCCCATGTTTTTAAGGTGTGATATCCCGGCAGTGTGTGCATCTCATCTGTCTTTTCACTACTTCCATCATTATCGGTTGGTCCAACTTCCCCAAGTTTAACCTCATCATCATCATAATCACTATTATCACTATTATCACTATCATCTTCGGATGTAGATGTGGTTTCCTCACCGTATTCCTCTAATCGCACACGAACTCCGTCTCCCAGTTCAACACTATTTCCTTCTGTGTTGAGTAATTCATTCACGTCAATGGGGCGACATATGATGGGACGACCATCACTCCCCACAACCTCTAATTCTATCTTACTATCCGTTTGAGGATACTGTTCCATGTTAAAATATTATACCCTATTACTATTACCAGAAATAATAAAAAAGAAAAAGAGATAGAGAGACAGATACATGAAGGAAGTCGTCATGAACAGGAAAGTATAAAAACAAAAAGAAAAAAAAAAAACCATAAGTATAATAAAATAAATAATTAAAACAAAAAAAAAAAAAAAATATACTGCAAGAGAAAAAAGATAGAAAAAAAAACATTTTTAATGGTATATTTTTTCGTCTTCTTTTTATTTATTTTTATTTTCGTTTCAATTGATGGACAGCACTTCTCTCTCTCTCTCTCACCAGCTTCTCTCTCTTACACCATTGCAGCATACATATGCTCGGTAATTTACTCGGGGTATAAAAACAAAAAAAAAAAAAAAGCGTGTCTAGGCTTTTACCATACTACTCTTCAGAGATTGAAGTATATGGGAAATCTCACTATCACTTAACTCTGATGGATCTTCAAAGAATTCACTAACAGAAAATAACCATTCTGGTTCTATGGCTGAGGCGACACGAATAAATGTTCCTTCTTGTCCCTGAACTTCAAGACGATCATATACAATCCACGTAGGACGTCTTTTTTTTGTTAATACGGATTGTCGGTGTAACATCACCCATTGAGAATCTTTAACTGTTTTATACCGTTCAGAATTAGGTGGTTTATAGGCGACTTGTGTAAAGAAACCTTCTAACACTACTTTACGAAGAGCCACAGAATCAAATAATCCTGTTTTATCATTATAAGTAGAAATAACAGGAATTCCTTTTTTCCCCATTAATTTTGTTAATTGAGTATAAACACGTGTAGCCTGTGTTAATGCTTGATATCGTAAGAAATGATCAAAACAGTAACGTGCGGATTGATGATTACGCCAAAAAGCATGAAAAACATTAAAAAGAGTTAAATGATCTCCATCTGCATGTTGAAATATCACATGTTGTTGATCAGCTTCATTACTCCGTGATGGTGGTCGTGTAAAGACATTTCCAACTTCTAACATGGCAGCAATAACAGCAGCATCTGCTCCACAACGATATTCAGATGATCGTAAAAGCATTCGAGCAAGAGAAGGTTCTACTGGAAATTCTGCCATTAATTTTCCAAATTCTGTTAATTTTAAATCATCATCTACAGCTCCAAATAAATTTAATTGATAATAGGCATCCATAATACTTTGCTGTGAAGGTGGATCAATAAAAGCAAACTGGTATGGATTCTCCACTTCAAGTTTTAATAATAATAATACCGTATTCACCATACTTGAACGTAAAACTTCAGGATGTGTTTGTTCTGGAAATAATGCGAAATCTTGTGGACGAAATAAACGAAAACATTTACCAGGACGAGTTCTACCAGCTCGTCCTTTACGTTGTTCTGCTGAAGCTTTACTAATAAGAGCTGGAAGTAAGTAATCCACACGAATATCAGAATTATATAAACTCTGTTTATGATATCCAGAATCAACTACATAAACAATACCATCAATCGTTAAAGAAGTCTCTGCAATATTGGTAGCAAAAATAATTTTTCGTACATTTTCTCCTACAGATGCAAAGACACGTTTTTGTTCATCTATACTTAATGATCCATAAAGAGGTAAAACTTGAACCATCATGGGAGATCCTTCCATATTTTGTATGATAGTCTCTGTATCACGAAGAACAAATTGTTCTAATTTTATTTTAGTTCGCATAACAGCCTTTTCTATTTCGGCTTCACCGGTAAGAAAACATAAAATATCACCTGCTGGTTCATTCCTGTGAATATTACACACACACTCTACACAAGACTCAATATAATCATTTACAGGTTCCATCACATATTTAACTTGAACATCATACATACGACCAGAAACCTTTATTAAAGGTGCTTGAGGAAAGTAGGATTGAAATTTTTGCATATCTAAAGTAGCGGACATAACAATTACTCGAAAATCTGGACGTCTATTTAAAATAAGACGTAATACCCCAAGAAGTACATCTGTATCTATTGTACGTTCATGTGCCTCATCCACAATAATAACACTAAACCTTGATAAATTGTGATCGGAAAAGGCTTCACGTAAAAGCATACCATCCGTCATGTATAATAATTTTGTCTTTTCAGACATTTTAGATTGAAATCGGACATGATATCCAACTTCATCGCCGAGTTGAACGTCCATTTCAGAAGCCACACGAGCCGCTACGGACATTGCCGCAATCCTACGAGGTTGTGTACATGCTATTATATGTGGAAATCCCATTTCAGCAATAAATTGTGGGACTTGTGTTGTCTTTCCACTTCCTGTTTCTCCCACAAAGAGAACAATCGGATGATCTCGTATTTGTTGTTTAAGAAGTTCAGCTTTTTCATACACTGGAAGTGTTACCCGGTGATTAAGTAATTTATAATACTCTGGTGAGAAGGATTGTCCTGTAAAAGGATTTATCTGAAGTGTCTGCTTAGCACTATTTTCATCCTTTCGAGGACACTCTAATCGTGTTGCTACAACTCGCTCCTGAGCATTTGTATCACATCCATCTTCTCTGGGTCTACGCATAGCCCCCAAAATAAGGATCTCTAGTGATTATCTTCTTATTTTTCTTTTCTTTTTTTTTTTAGTTGCTGTTGCTGTTGTTGTTGGTGGTGTTATTCTTTCTTTTTCTTCTTTTCTTTATCTTATCTTGTCTGTATTACGACTGGTGTTGCTGTAAAACACAAATTGTGCACCACCTGTTCATAAAGAAAAATAAATAAATAAATAATAAATAAGGAGAGAGTGGTAGGATGTAATGGCATACAAGAGACCTCTTCTTTTATAAGGCTTAAAGAAAAAAAAAAAAGGAGGTCCATACCTTATATAAAGGTATATATACACACACACAATAAAAGAAAATGCTTAGTTACACATAAACACATAAAAAAAAGATTAAATGCTATTTAACAAATAGCTTCAATGTATTCTTTTTTTGAGGAATATCAGTGGGATGTAGTTGTGTATTCATGACCGCAAAAAAAGACAGGCAAAAAAAAGTCGAAGGGGGGAAAAATAAATAAGAAAAATTAGGGATTGCCCTCAAAAGTTCTTCCTTTTCCTTTCTTTTCTTTTTTCAACTTTACATCTTCATTATCAAAAGAAGGTAAGTAGAAAACAAAAAAAAAAAAAAGAAAAAAAAAAAGAAAGCAATATGAGAAGCAACTACGAAAGTGTCAATAAAGACAGAAACAAAACAAAACAAAACAAAACAAAATAAAAACACAAAACAAAACACACATGCGATAATCATTTGCTTTTTTTATTTTTTATTTTTTTTCTTTTAACAAAAACCATTTTCGGTTTACATTTGGTTATTTTGTAGTTGCTGCATCATCTGCATCATCATTGCTGTTTGTTCTGGTGATAACTGTGGTGTGGGAGCCTGTTGTAATTGTAATTGTAATGGTTGTTGTTGTTGTTGTTGTTGGAGCATCATTCCTTGCATCATTTGCATCATCATTGTCATTTGATCATTTTGATTTCCATTCACAGGCGGTGGCATAAATGACTGTTGTTGTAATTGTGTTGATTGTGTTGATTGTGATGATTGTGGATTAAGGGCTGCATTTCTAAAAGCCACATTCGGCATTGTTTCTGCACGATGGGTTGGGATCTGTTGTTGGCCTAAACCGCCTTGAAGCCCATACTGACCGGCCAGTTGATCTTCCATCTTTTTTGTGTATTCTCGTTGGAGCATAATCGCATGTTTTCGATCTCGTGGATCCACTACGGAAGTTTGTTTAATGGGTCTTAATAACATGGGAAGATCCTGTTCAATGGTTTGTTTCATTAAGTTAATCCATCCTTTCTTCTGCAGGCGATCCATATCATAAAATTCATCTGCTCGTACTCTTTCTAGGAATGTTCTCATTTCATCAGCGGTGGGGAAATCAGATGAACTAAAGCGGTATTTATTAGCGAGATCTTCTATAATTTGTGGAAACTGTGCAAAGAACTCCGCTTTTGCCTTATCTTTTCCAAACCATTTTGGCATCTTTGATTTATAAGCAGCACAGGCTAATGCAAAGATAATAACTCGAGTGGCTCGTTGTAAAACAGAAGTCACACGTTGATCAAGGGATTGTAATGGTATAGTTTCTGTCAAATCATAAATAAGATCAGCCTTTTCTTCTGTGAAAAGTGCATGATCCGTACCTTTACAATATGGACGATCCCAAAAACTGGATACATAAACCCGTGGAGGTTCTGTTGTATTAATAAGACTTGAAAGATTCCAAAATAATGCTCCATATACTCGCATAAGTTCCTGAGGTCCCACCGTATCTGCTTTATTTAATACGATACGAATTTTACTTTCATGTCCACTTAAGGCATGTTTAAATAACATACGAAGTTCTGTTCCAGCATCTAACTTTGTTGGATCAAAAAGAAAAAAAACCAAATCACTCTTCTCCACAAACCATCGACATACCTTAATGTAATCATACCGTCGTGAATGAACATCCCCAGCTGTCTCCAGTACACCAGGAGTATCAATTAACGAAACAGATTGCAGAATAGGATGCGGTGCGATAAGTCCTTGAAATGATTCTGCAAATGAATCTCCAAATTGACTTAATCCACGAAAAGGCTGAGAACTATCGGCCATTAATACACGACCAGGGATTTGTTGGACCTCCTCACCATGCATAATAACAGTAAACTTATCCGTAACGGGTTGTGGACCAGTCTGAAGATAATTATTCTGCATTAAATAATTAATAAAAGTAGACTTTCCAGCAGAAAATGGACCTAGAAAAGTAACGAACGGCTTCTTCTGTACAATCGCCTCTGAGAACCAACTAGGACGATAAACATCATACTGGAACTTTGTTTCGATAGGCCGCACTCGCTCCATGTAAATTCGCTGCAGTTCCGCAATCACGCTATCAATGTGTTCATCCCATGAACCAGAGGCAGTGGAGGGCGGCGGCGGTAATAACACCCCCTCTGATTTCTTTGAAGGCATTATTCACACACACACACACACACAAGAAAAGAAGAAAAAAAAAAAAAAATTTAACTAATAACACGTGTACAACACTGAACTAAAAAGAAATATATATATACCTTTAGATATAAAATACAGTATTTGCCTCTTCAAGAAGCTACTATCTTTTTTATTTTTTTTTTCCTAAAAAATTTAGTTTTCCTTCCGTTGCTTTTCACCTATTTCTAATTGAAATACACCCTTACTAAGATCAAGAAAAGAAAAGAAAAATAAGAATAAAAATAAAATAAATAAGGAAAAACAAAGAAATAACACAGAATTATAGAATTTTATTTGGTTCCATAATACCAAAAAACTTATAATTACATTGAAGACATATACACACGACTTCAAACCTGCAGTCATTCTGAGAGCAAAGATGCCATGAAAAGAAAAAAAAAAAGCAAAAAAAAAAAGATATACAGACAGAGAAAAAAAAAAAAAAAATGGGTAATGAAAAAAAGAAAGGAAATATCCAATAAATAAATAAATAAAGAAAATCTTTTTAGTTAGACTATCAATTGAACTCAGTGAACCACAACTGAATCACCAAACGTGTACAAAAGAAGTTTCTTAAACGTCATTGCATGTCTCAATCTTGATCCACTATCTCGTGTTTCCATAATATTACTAGAGAAACTCTCATTCTCTTGCATTATTGTAGATGATTCCGAACGGTGTAAATTCCTTTCATTTTTCCTCATGGTCTCTTCGCCACCAGCAGCACCAGCAGCAACAGTAGTATTAGTAGCTCCAGTAACCGAAGAAACAACTGTACTTTCCCGTGAAGATGGAGAGGGATGTTTCTCTGGAGATAAAACATTAGCAGGAATAAACACACGTATAGCTACAGGGGTATTAAATGTTGTTTGTGTCGATCCCGCACATGCTGGAGAAGTAACAGCGTAACCATCATCCCAACGTTGTTGTTCTTGCCATTGTTTTTCTTGTTGATTATTTGATTCCTCTGATATATTCCAAGAAGAAGAAAGGACCGTCGTTGCAGTTCCTTCATACGCTAAACGGGCAATACCACGTTGTAATTGAAGTAAAACTTCCACAGATAAATCCTGTGCTTGTTCAAGAAATCCATGTTGTGAATTTCTAAGAGATGAAATAGATGATTTCAAAATAGCTACAGAAAACATATCAGCATTCCACGCACAGGCTAAATTTAATGCATCTTCTACAACAGAAGGTATTTTATTAGATCCATCATCTTCCTTCTTTGATGGTGTCCAGAGAAATATAATATTAGCTCCCCAAAATCGTGTAGTAAGCATTACTTTTAAACAAGAATGATATTTTAAAGAAACAAATTGTAATTTCTCTCCAGCTTTAGGTAATGCATCTCCTTGTTGCTCTTCTTTCTGTTGTGGTTGTAGTAATAGTTCAGCTGATGGAACCGATAAGATAGATTCTGCTTCCGCTTGTGAACCAATAAGAAGTAATACCGAATTTATTTTATGTGAGAGACGTAAAAGATGTTCCTCTACTACTGTTGCTATTTCTTCTGTACCTTGATCAACTTCATAAAGAGAGTTAATACATGTCTGTAGTGATGATTCTGGAGAAATATCTACTGCAATAGGACGTAATGACATATCTTTAGGTCGAAAAGTATTCATTTCACGTTGTAAAAGATTTGGAAGTTCTACCGTTCGTACAGGTACTCTTTCAGAGACAAAGTGTGAAATATTTGTAATACGTTGAGGTTTGGCTATACCTTTATGTAAACTTCCTTTTCCACCACCTTTTGCAAAAAGTGCCATTGCTGCAGGTGCAGATGTTTTAAGAAATGCCAAAAGACTCTGACGTAAATCCATTTCAAGTAATGTTTCACTTTCATAAATTTGACGTTGTAGTTCATCCAATTCACGTTGATGTTTTAATACAATACGTTGTGTAATATCCGATCCCACCACTATATCTTTGACTCCACCATTTGCAGCCTCCAAGAGATTTGTGAGTTGTTGTTCTTGACAACGACGAAGTTCTGTTAACTTCTCTTCATTTTCTACTACACATTGACGAAATTGGGCATTGAGTTGAATAAAAAGATGTGCTGTGGCACTCAGTAATTCTAAATTTGGACTAATAAGTGAAAGAAAAAAGAGTGACTGTTCATCAGAGTTTGTTCCAATCACGCGATACGGGCGAAGAAGTGTATACATACCACTCTTATAATTAGAGTTACTGTTGATTCCAACATGCGGCCCTGTTTTTACACTTGTGGAGACTGCAGGAACCGTAAATGTTCTCCACGAGTGTCGCAGATCAAAGGATTCATCCTCCTCCTCCTCCATATCTTCTCTCTACCTCACACAACTTGTGTTTCCTTCCTAAATGTAGGGAGGGGAAAAAAGTAAAATAAATAAAAAAAAAAAGATATTACAAGAAAGACCAAAACAAGAAGAATAATACATATTCTCTCTCTCTCTCTCTCTCTCTCTCTCTCTCTCTCTCTCTCTCTCTCTTTTCTTCTTCTTCTCAGTCAAACACACACAGAGAGAGAAATAAACAAATTAATAAATAAAACACAAACTCTCTCACACACACACAGACTCTCTCTCTCTCAATTGGCAGAGTTACCCACACCGTACTTCTCCTGCAGTTCCTGCAACCACGCAGTGCCCTCCGCGGCCCCCGCCTCGTCATTATGCCGGCGGCACCATCGCACGTATTTCTCCGCCGTGGCGTGCGCCTGCGCGGGATCCCCAACGGCCTCAAAACAACGCAACACCCGCGCGAGTGTTAACTTTACAGAGTCCACATCGCCCTCGTCAATGTGAATGTTAAGAGCCTCAATTAACAGATCGAGGGCTTTGCCGTACATTTCTTTTCCATCACCACCAGACGCAACCTCTTTTTCGGCTAATTTCTCATGGCAGAGACCAATACCGGTAACGATAGAGCGTCGCATATTTACAGCCGCAACGGCTTGCATAGGCATAGCGGACTTGGCATCCACATCTATCCAACGTAGCACTTCTGTAAAGAGATTAAAAGAATCCTCAATTTTTCCATTCTTTAAGAGAATATACGCAATCAGTTGATTAACTTCTGCTAATTGTGCAGCATCTCGTAAGGATAAAGGAGTTTCAAGAAGTGATTTTTTAGCCTCTTCTGCATTTTTTAAGGCATCATCAAACTGCTGAAGATTATAATGTGCTTGTGCTGCTTCCAGAAGAAGCAGAGTTTCACATTGTATGGGTGCATTTAGTGCCCCCATCTCCTTTAACATGTCTAATCCCTTCTTTACAGCAGCAAGAATATCTTCATACTGTTTATTAGCGCGAGATGTATCAATTACCGCTGACAAATCATTCCATCTCTGTAATGCCTCCATATCCTTCTTGACAACCTCTTCATTTAGTGTAAAACTCTCAATGTTAACAGGTGATACAGGTTTCGTCTCGCTTGTGCCTTCACTTGAGCAACGAATACCCTGCCAGAGCGCAACGCGAGGGAGAAGATGACGGGATGAAAGAGTTAAACGCCGAAGTAACATTCTATTCATTATCAAACAACGTGGTTGCCTAAAACAAAGAGAAATAAGAGCAAAAAAATAAAAATATATTTATAATGATGATGACAACAGTCACACCCCCACCCCACCCCACAGAGACAAAAAAAAAAATGAATCAATGAAGCAGAGGGCATTTAAACACATACACACACACACACACAAAGAGAGAGAGAGAGAAACAACACATGCGTAAAACAGCAAAAGAAAAAAAAAAAAAACACAACAAGAATGACCGAATTAAAACAATGCAAAATAAAAGGAAGGCAATACAAAAATATCAACAGATGTATTCTTCTTTTCATCTCTTTTTTTCTTTTTGCATCACCCAATTTCCCCCTTAAAAGTAGAACAAAAAAAAAATCAATAATGGAAAGAATGGCAGAAGAGTCACGTAAGTAAAAAAAAAAAAAGAGTGACAATGGCGAAATAAATCAAAAAAAAAAACTTTGCTTTTTTTAAAAATCTACCTTCTCATTCTGGTTGCTAATCCCTTTTTATTTCCCTCAGCTTGGCCGACACTCTGACTTGTCCAAGACTTGATACTGCTGGAGTTTCTTTATTACCCCATCTGCTGACAACCACCAATCATGCCTATAACTTACTGTTGGATACAATAAAACGTGAGTTCACTACTCACGTCCATAATATCCACATCCCGAAATATATCTACAAAAAAAATGTCAAACCCTCTTTGATGTCATTATTGCGACTATTATTATCGCACAATAATTCTTTCTTTTTGTTGTTGTTGTTCTTTTTTCTCTTTTTTCGTTTACTTATTTTTTTCTCTCTCTATCTCTTCAATACCCCTCCCTTTTATTCCTTTTTTTTTTTTTCTTTTCTTTTCCTTCGTTCATCTCCTTGCCATTTTATACTTCCACAACTATAATTAGATGAGCATTCGTGGCCCTTTTGAAGCGACTGGTCGTGGTGGGGCTGGTTTATCCGATGGATTCTCATCTTCTAGTTCTCCTCCGTGTGCGAGTGCCTCCTCAACAGCAGACTTCAACTCATCCGTACTGTCCAACTCCAGCCGCCGTGCAAATGTCACGCCGTGATGTTTTGCCTGCATGAGAAAAGATGCCTTGGATGAGGCGTACACCATCAGTTCCCGCGCTTTACATACACTTGGACAAATGTACACCATCATCGCCTTCGTTGTTGTTGCATCCACTGGGCAACGAAATACCACAAATCGTGGATGATTTGGAGGAATAAGTGCCTTTACAGCCTCCATGAGGGATGATAAAGCGGAGGATGAAGAAGTAGTGGATCCTGTTCCTTTTACTTCGGCAAGTTTTTTATCTAAAACGATCTTATCTGACTCTACTGTAAATGTCAGAGCACACACTTCACCACGGGCAAATTTCTCTAATTCCTGCATTCCCTCACTCGTGAGTGGCATTACCACACCAGGCATTGCCACTGGATTAGGTGCAACTTCCATCTTATCAATTGCCTTTCGCAACTTCTCGCCTTCTGTCATGAGTTCCTCACGTGTACTCTCTGTCTCTTTTGCAAAGAGAGAAGGTACGATATCCGTCACTCGTCCCACATGCTCTTTTACTGTATGCGGCAATCCACTTGCCTCTGCGAGGTGTCCAGCACCTGTGGCGTAAACCATCCTCACTTTTGGCGAGATACCGTCTTGGCAGAAAAAAACTTGTGCAAACTCTTTTTCTTTGAGTTTTACGATAATAAATGCAGCCTCTATCTTATCAGCCGTGATGAGATCACGTACTTTGGAAAGATCATTTTCCAACTTGGTGGTCGCCTCAATTGGCTTCCCGTGAAGTTGCATTACTTCATTCTTAATAGTAACAACAACAGCACGAGTCGGGGCATGCTCCTCTCGAAATGACTTGAGGGTCTTCTCCAAGGCTGAGTCTAGCTTGAAGTTTACTGTCAACATGTTTTCTTTTTTTCTTTTTCTTTTTTCCTGCGACTTTATTGTTCCTTCTCTTGTACTATTATTATTTTGTTTTTTTTCCTCTTTCTTTTCGTTTGTATACTTCTGCCAATAGAACCGTATTTACGGTTATAGACGTGAATCTGTTTTCTACTTGATTCTCTTATATTGCAATGTATCCACCGTATATCAGATTATTTCTACACAAAGGTATATATATACATATACAACATGGGAAATAAAAAAAAAAAAAAAA